CTTGACCTTTCGCTGATAACCGTTCGCCTTGTGCCGCAATCAAGCGGAACTAAGACCACTACCACAGTTATAAAAGTTTCTTAAGAGATATATTGAACATATTTAATCTAGTGTATTACGATAAAAAAAGAGAGAAGAAGTATATAAGTACATTCATATTTACGTTTATACAAGCAAAGATATTTTATTTCACCGAAGCAGCCTATATATGAATAAACGCATTTCGTATTTTACATACATTTTATTTAAAGTATGTTTCGTCCAGGAAATAGAAAAAAAACATTTTCGGCTGCGAATAAACTGTATAATATATCTTTACAAATGAAGTGAATAAACTTGACCATTTAATTTGTACATATGTCAAATATGAAATGTATATTTCATATAAAAATATACACGGTAGTACCTAATAATATATTGTGCATTTAACGGCTATCATTTATTACACAGCATATATGTTAATCTCGAAAATTTGTAATTTTAAATGCAAGAATATACATGTATCATTACATAAAACACATAAATTATATCTACGTTGTATAGTATTTTAAATTAAAACCATTCAAACCACTACAATGTATGTGTTTGTTGAAGGTTATCTTAGAGTGATGTTACACTTATGCATATATTTACTCATATTTGCTATAAAAATTAAAAGTAAATTAGGTTATAGAATACAATTACAATGTGTTACAATATTAATCAATGACATGCTTAAATTATGCATATATCAGGCAGTTAAAATAATTGTAAAGTATCAATGAACCCATCATATTTTTCATGCTTGATATAATCTATACTATGTAAATTAGTAGATAGATGTTTTATTACAAATATCATTATACTAATTTACAGTGTGATAATATAAAAAATATATGACACTTCTCTATAATAAATACTTTTAAAAAATTAAGTCGAAAGTATTTATTCAATACATTGCAAAAAGTACATTATCATAAATAGAATATATAACTTTATTTCTTTAATACTTGTTAATATGTACGAAATACGAAATTTTTCAAATTTGAAACGAAACATTGAATTTTTATAAACAATAAATTTAGAAAAAATTATAAACATATATATAAATATATGTTTTGAAAATACATATATATTATATTTATTATTATTAATTTATTAATTTATTACTATTATTAATACCAATTACAATTAAATTGATATTAGGATCCCCTCAGACAATCAATAATATTGTCAATATTTCAAGGTTCTCGACAAAATGCGATTTATCAATAAATATTGAGAACCTTGAAACATTGACAATATACATATATGTATGTATTGATAGTCTGAGGGTACCATATGTATACAAAGTGAAAAAATCACATTCCTTGCAAGCAAGAAAAGTATATTCACAAATCACTACATATATGTATATATATGTATATGAAAACCAATTTTGTTCATTAAATTTATCATTTATTATTTATCGTCTATTTAAATTTTCCAATATTTATTAATATCACTATTAACTTTTGCCATTTTTAAATCATTCTTCACAAAAAATATATATGCCTTAGTTATTGTTTATGCCGTGCTGTGACGCTGCGTTAGCTAAAAATCGCGACGAGTAATTGTATTATTTTATCATTCTAATTAAAACTTAAATTATTTTCTTAATCATTGTGAATGTATCAATGTTAATATGGCTTCGGCTGAACTTGAATGGACTAAATTCGTAGACGAACAAGACAAACTATCAGCAAAGGTAATATTTTTATCATATATGTGTATCACCGGCTTAACCTCGCTATTGTTTGTTTATTACACATTTGCTATTCAAAAAAGTTTCTTTTTTGTGTACCTCCCTTGCTTAATTTTTAATTACTGAAATTATATATATTCAACAGTTAAAGCATGTTAAATCTATCAATAATATAATAATTTTAACCCCTTTTTATAACGAAACATTTTTATTATCTTTTTTTTTACCGAAATAATAACTTGTCGACTCTTATGACGTGTCAGGTGTCCAATCTAAATATAGATAAAGAACCTAAAGAAAATACAGCAAATACAGATTCCAAAAATGATGATGGTTCGGATGAGCAAATCTCAGCCGCAGAAAAATCATTATTCCAAAAAATTATACGTAAAGGTTTGGTAGAAACAACACAAGATATAGAAGTTCAAAGAAAGGATCCATCTTCACCTTTATATAGTGTTAAATCTTTCGAAGCTCTTCATCTGTTGGTATTTTTGCTATTAATTTCTTTATATTGATATTGTTTTAAAAAGATTATACAGTATAATATATATTATAGTAAACCTGCTTTATTAAAAGGAGTATATGCAATGGGATTTAATGCTCCATCAAAAATTCAAGAAACTGCATTACCTACTTTACTTGCTGATCCGTAAGTTTGTTTCTAATATAAACAAGTTTCGTTCATTTTTTAATACAAAGAATAAATGACAACCATAAAGTTTAATCGATTATTTATAGACCACAAAATATGATTGCTCAGTCACAATCTGGGACAGGTAAAACAGCTGCATTTGTATTGGCAATGCTAAGCAGAGTCAACACCACCAAAAATTATCCTCAAGTGCTTTGCTTATCACCAACTTATGAATTAGCTATACAAACAGGAGAAGTAGCAGCTAAAATGTCTGCATTCTGTAATGAAATAAAAATAAAATATGCTGTAAGAGGAGAAGAAAGTAATACATATTATAGATCATTTTCAACCATACAGAAATTATCTTTTTTTAACAAAAATTTACATCTCTCTTTTTTGTTATTTCAGTGAGTCGTGGATCAAAGATTACAGAACACATAATCATTGGAACACCAGGAAAAGTTTTAGATTGGGCTGTTAAATTTAAGTTCTTTAGTCTAAGTAAAATATCAGTTTTTGTTTTAGATGAAGCAGATGTAATGATAGCAACGCAAGGTCATCAAGACCAGTGTATTCGTATTCATAAGTAATTATTTTAGTTTATAAAAACGTAAAGAAATGATATTTCAAGCTGCATATTGTATTTATATTTAAATTTTACATTTAAACACATTGCTTACAGGCAGCTTCCACGCACATGTCAAATGATGTTTTTCTCTGCAACTTATGAGCCAGAAGTGATGAAATTTGCAGAAATTATAGTTAATAATCCTTTAATAATAAGGTTACTGAAAAAAGAGGAAAGTTTAGATAATATTAAACAATATTATGTAAAATGCAAGGATCTGGATGGAAAATATGCAGCTATTACCAACATATATGGTGTAATAACAATAGGACAGGCAATTATTTTTTGTCATGTAAGATATCTTTATGTTGTATTGATGAGTGATTTTTCCGTTTTAAAATTATAAATAGTATTTTTCATTTACCTATAGACTAGAAAAACAGCGGGTTGGTTAGCCGAAAAAATGACAAAAGATGGTCATGCAGTAGCTGTTTTATCTGGGGAACTGACAGTTGAACAGAGAATTTCAGTTTTGGATCGTTTTAGAGCTGGTCTTGAAAAAGTTCTTATCACAACTAATGTTTTAGCCAGAGGTATTCATGTAACTCCAGTCCTAGTTTTAAAGTCTAAAGCTTTTTATATTTCTTTCTATATATTTATTACGTGCTTTTAGAACTATGGAAGTATAAATATGGAAAACATTTTTATAACTTTCCAACATTAATTATATATTTATTTAAGTGGTTCAGTAATCAAAAAATGTTGCAGGTATTGACGTTGAACAAGTAACAATAGTTGTCAATTTTGATTTACCAGTGGATCAAAATCGGCAAGCAGATTGTGAAACATATTTGCATAGAATTGGTCGTGCTGGACGTTTTGGTAAATCTGGAATTGCTATTAATCTAATAGATTCGTCTCATGCAATGCAAATATGTAAGGATATAGAAGAACATTTTGGAAGAAAAATACATTACCTTGATGCTGAAGATGCAGATGAAATAGAAAAAATAGGAGCCTAGATTAATATTTAAGAAATACAATTATGCTTTTTATCAAATACGTATAGATATATTGTAATACCTCCTAAAAGAATAGACATTTGTATTCTCAACATGAATTCTTTGTATTTCTTTTCCAATAGCACATATTACCAACAAATATTATATGTTTACCTTTTTTTACAATGATTGTATGGTATTCTTTAATATCGAGTTAAAATATGGCGATTGGATCAGGAATATACACAGAGTTTGAACAATATAAAAATAAAAAAATATTTTTATATGTTATACAGCAAATAACTGTTTGACGCAGAGAAATATCATGTCCTTATCTTTGTACTGCATGTAACTTAGTTAAAATTAAGTTTGAGTTTTTATATAAAAGAAAAACTATTCATTCCTTCCACGTTTAAATTTTAATTTGACCACATATGATCTACTGATCGATCTTTGGTTATATGTATTACGGTAATGTTACAACGATATTGTGATCACATTATCGCGATTTGTATAAGTACAAATAATATAAGCTAAAATCAGTTAATCATTGGTTAATAATTATAAATTATTAATTATTTATCATAACTGATATTGGAACCAACAAATTGTGAATGTTGTATGGAAACTTTACCGACATATTTTACACATTATGAGAACTCTCTTATAAATGAAACATAAAATAAAAATATTTTAACACAATTCTTTCGACAATGGTATATAGGTATAGAAGTTAAAAATACGTAAAATGTACAATTTTCCATGTAATAGTGTGGCAAAGTAATTAAACAAAATGGTCATTATTGTAATACAATTCGTCTCAAATTCATTTACAAGGCATCCATACGTGACGTAATATTAAAAAACGGTGTGCTTTAATGTATTTGGACGAAAGTGTATGAAACATTCAATCATTTTTTATTGTAACAGAATTTCTATATTATTTACATTTTATTTTTTCGATGTAAACATTTCTTTTCAATAGAACTCATTAATTTTTTATATTTGTTAATGGAAGTATAATAAAAGTTTCTCAATAGGTGGGACGTTTTTTTTAGAGAACACCCATAGTACGTATTTCAAACATACATTTATTAAGATTAAAAAATGAAAATAAATTGCAACATTTAAAAAACGATATGAAACAAGTAAGTTTTTTAACTTATCGCAATACACATGTTTGTACATTTGCATTATTACTTATTCATTCATATAGATGAAAAATCATATAAAAATGCATCAAAGGATATTTCTCGCATCCTGAATTTCATAATTTATAAATACTTATCCGTCTTTTAATAACTTTTTGTCAATTAAGCAAAAGAACAAAATCGCTTTTGTAATAATTTTAATGCAGAAATAAACGAACAGGTTCCTATAAAGACAAGATTATTTGAACATATTAATTCAGTTCTTAAATATATTCTTGTGAACCACTGGTTTGAAACTTTTAAAATTTTATTGACACTAACTATTAACTTTGACTTATTAAATTTTATTTTTTGACGTAATAGTATAATTTGTTTGCACATTTGTTACATATTTTTATAACAAAAAATTAACAAGCTGTTAATATGGATATGCAGTTATTTCAATAAAAAAAGAATTTTTCTTATGGCATATATTCAGCAGAACAATAATGTTTAAAAATATAAAACAAAAACGAATGAGTCGAGAACAAATATCACAACGGTACATGAAAAACTTTCTTTCTCCTTATTTACTTTAAACATTACAGTATGGTAAAGTATCCTAAATATTCAGTTTCTGGGTTACTCAATCGGCAAATTGTATTTATATGTTTGCAATTCTAATAGCAGTTTATAGCAAATTGATTGATATTGCGATTGAATTACAATGTGAAGTTCAGTCTTTGTATGGGATTTTATTCAATTACATTCCCATACCTCCCATACCACCCATACCACCCATTCCACCCATACCACCACCGCCCATTGGCATCTGAGGTTCTTCTTTCGGCAATTCAGTAACCACCGCTTCTGCAGTTGTAAGTAGTGATGCAACACCCGCGGCATCAGTAAGTGCTGTACGCACTACCTTTGTTGGGTCGATAATACCTTTCTCGATCATATCAACATACTCATCATTCAAAGCATCGTAACCAAGATTGCTGTCACTAACTTTCGCTACTACTAAACTAGCGTCTACGCCTGCATTCTGAGCAATTTGTAAACACGGCATACGCAATGCATTTGCCACTATCTTTATTCCTGTTTCTTGATCGTTATTTGATGCTTTCAAATTTTTAAGAGCTGGAATACATCTTAGGAGAGCTGTACCACCTGTAAATTGAAAATATAGAAAATAATTATTATGGAGATTTAATATGTAGAAAAAATTACTTTTTTCTTCTCAATATCTATAATGAATACATTTTTCTACATATAAGTTTTTTGTGTTCTACCACCAAGTTCTTATATTTTGTACATTGCATGTTTATGTAAAAATTTAATGCAGAAACTGAAAGAACAATGTCTAATTACCTCCAGGAACAATCCCTTCTTCAACAGCTGCTCTAGTAGCATTAAGAGCATCATGAACACGATCCTTTTTCTCATTAACTTCAACTTCGCTACTTCCACCAACTCTTAGAACTGCAACTCCAGATGCTAACCTTGCTAAACGTTCTTGCAGTTTTTCTTTTTCATAGTCAGATGTTGTATTAGCAATTTGATCTCTAATTACATCTGCTCTATGATCGATATCAACTTTCTTCCCTTTGCCCTTCAGGATGAGTGTATCATCTTTTGTAATTACAACTTCTCCTACCTCGCCTAAATCACATAACTGCACATTTTCTAATTTAACGAGATTTGCATCATCGCCAAATACAATCCCTCCAGTCAAAATCGCCATATCTTGAAGTGTTGCTTTTCTATTGTCTCCAAAACCAGGGGCCTTAACTGCAGCCACCTGCAAACCGATTTTCAATCTATTGACCACAAGCGTTGACAGTGCTTCACCATCAATGTCTTCTGCTATAATAACAAGCGGTTTTCGTTGGGAATTCGCTAATTCCAATGCTGGAATTATAGACTGCACAGACGATATCTTTTTCTCACTGAAGAGCAATAGTGCATCTTGGAATTCAACTTTTGCTCCTTTACTAGAATTTATGAAGTATGGAGATATATATCCCCTGTCAAATTTCATTCCTTCTATAACTTCCAGTTCGTCGTGTAGTGTTTTACCATCTTTTACAGTGATTACACCTTCTTTTCCAACTTTTTTCATAGCATCCGAAATAAGATTACCAATTGCCTTATCCCCATTGGCTGAGATAGTTGCTACTTGTGCAATTTCCTCTGGAGTTGTTACTGGCTTACTTAAGGTTCTTAATTCGTCCTTGACCTTATCAACTGCCAACATTACACCTGCAATATGTCCATTATTTTATTGTAAATGCCTTTCTACTATTTCATAATAGCAATAAGAAAATGTTCTAGTAGCATTATTTAATAAATTCAATTTTATAACAGGAATTTATATTTATATTATATTTTATTTTTATTTTTACTTACCTCTTCTTATTTCTACAGGATTAGCACCTTTACTAATTTTTTCAAATCCTTCTTTAGCAATCGCTCTTGCTAGAACTGTAGCTGTAGTCGTACCATCACCTGCCTCTTCGTTTGTGTTATTTGCTACATCTTGTACTAATTTTGCTCCAATATTTTGAAACTTATCTTTTAATTCAACTCCCTTGGCAACCGTGACACCATCTTTAGTAATTTTTGGACTACCCCAACTTTGTTCTAAGATGACATTACGTCCTTTTGGACCCATTGTTACTGCAACTGCATCTGCTAAAATATCCACACCTTGCAACATGAGTGCTCTAACTTCTGCCCCAAAACGTACATCTTTGGCATATGAACGAGCTTGTAATTGACGTAGTGCTGCACCACGCAATACAGTTGGTAATCTGTGCATCTAAAATAATTAAAGAAGAACTGTTATATCACACAATATTCCTGAATAAAACCTTTTTGAAATATATGCATCGAACATTTTATGAACGTGACATTTTGTATAAAATTAGTTTTTAAGTTTTATCGACGAAACTTGACATTAAATTTTATAATTTTACTTCCATAATAAAAAGAGGAATCTGTTTTCCTTAACATTAATAAATTTTGAAAGGGGAAAATTAATCGACTTTTAACGTAAACGTGGTTATGTAAACTGCCGCGTGGTCGCCGAGAAACCACAGTACAATACAGATTATTTTAAATAACTTCCAAAACTTTCTATAACAAATTTTGCATCATATGAAACATTGCTTTTTTACTTTCTGTATTTTTTCGCCATTATTTTGATTTATAATCCAATATGGCATACAAATCAATTCGACCGGCTTATCCGAGTAAAAAAAAAACTGGAAATTATTACACGAAAGAATAAAAAAAATATAAATAATTTTGAAAAACCGAGAGCAACTGTAAAAAGCATTATTCATAGTATTTGTGTTTCTTTACTTCTTATCCTGCACCTTTGACTACGACTTTTAAAACTGTAAAAACGTTTCTTAAAACTTTTAATATTCCAATTTATTAAAATGACAAATACAAAGAAATCATTGTAAGAACAGAACATATTGCTCTATAATAATCAAAAATATAAAATGTACAATAGATATAATCAAACAGAATTGGTCTAAGATTAACCGGTTAATACCTTTAAACAATTAATATATATTTATGTGTAGGAAGGAAATGAAATTTACGAAAAAAGTGTTTACCTTTAACTAGTGAATGAGAAAAAGCCGTTGATTAGAGATTGTAATTTCAAAAGTAATTGAAAATCGGCACAGCGTGACTGCACGTTGTCTCGCCAGTAGAATGAAATGTGTAAGAGAGCTTTCAGCTTACGCTATCACATGGGTAATGCTCCCTTCCCCTCCCTTATCCTTTTATTCTAACTTAACCTTCTTGTATTCGATTAAGAAATTTCTTAAAATTTTCAACAAATTTAATCGATATGAAATATAAATAAGAAACAAAAATCTAGAGATTATTCCTATATTTTCATTTAACAACATTTAATTCTTTAATCATATCAACAAATTTCATTCTTAGTAAGAGTTATAGCTTCTAGAATGTACGAGAACACATGTGATGCAATCGTTCAGTATTCTCCAATCATATTCGTCGATTTGCCGGCAAATCATTCCGTACTTTTTACTGTACAATTCTCTATATCCAAATCAAGTATAAACAACTTCAAAATAATTTCAAATATAATAAAACGAAATACATATATCAATTTTATTTCATTTTATTCCAAATTATATTAAATAATTAAGATATTTTTCTAAGTATTGTAATTCGCTGAATAATCGAAACTTATTGTCTAAGAAAAAGGATGTTTAGAAAGTTTTTAATAGTGTATTAGCATTAAGCCATATAAAAAGCGTATTAGCCATTATAAAAACATATATTTTAAAATTTACGTAGTATTTACATCGATATCAATTTTATTTATTTACCAATGACCTTATTTGTTTGTTACCAATGTCATTTATTCGATCGTAATTAACATACAAATAAAAGTTCAGAATTCGTTTCTCAATAATAATTTATTTTTTATACTTTATCATAATAACTTTTTGTTAAGAAATATATATGTATATATGTAAGTTACAATACTACATATGTTCAATAATATTTCAGCACCATCTTGTGTCAGATTTTATATCTCGTGTAATGTCTCGTTGTTACGTAACGTGTATACTGGGTTCTTACTCCAAATCAATAAAAACGTGGTGGGGCAAAGAAGTATAGAGGGGAATTGGGAATCTTCGAGAAAAGCGGAGAGGCTTGCTCGGCTGCTGCACATAGATAGTACAACGTGGTTGAACTGCGAGTGCACGATCTCTGTCTATCGTAGAAATTTGAAATTTTAGAAACAATGGTAAGGAGAACATAAATCTTATCTTAAATTATATGTTATGTTATAATTTTCTTCATTAACTCAACATTTTCATATGTTTCAAAAATTTCTAAGGTTAACTTTCAAAATAGTGATTGAAATTATATATTTCCTGTTAAGTTATTCTTTAATTTAAAAAATGTAATAAATGTATTTGAAATCATGTATAATTTACTTGTATTGTTCGATGTTTTTTTGTTTAGTATAGTAATTTCAATGATATTTGATTCTATAAATCCTGTCGCATGGCCGGTGTAGTGAATGTCCTCTTTTTTCTTATTTATTTATTAGAGATAGAAAAACAAGTGACTACAAAACAGTTAATAAAACAAAAATATATACGTATGACGATAATTTCCATCGTGTGCTTATGATTTAATATCGCAAATTTTTTAGTGAAATTACTCGTAGATAGAGAGTTAATTACTGCATTTTTACATAATTGCATTTCTGCTATTAATTTTATCATTTGCAAGAAAATAAGTAGACGAATAGTAACCTAAACGTTTTTTGAATTTTATACAGTACGAAAAATTTCGTAAAATTACGCCATGCACGATCTTAAAGTAATTGATTTTAAATATATATTGTAAAACTAAATTTAAATGGTATAAATCTCCTTATATATATTCTATGTTAATATTTTCATAATAGGCTGCAGCTAATGCCATTAAGAGACTTATACCTCTATTTGATAGAGTTCTTATACAAAGAGCCGAGGCTGTAACAAAAACAAAAGGTGGTATCGTTTTACCAGAAAAAGCTCAAGCAAAAGTCTTGCAAGGAACTGTTGTGGCAATTGGACCGGGACAAAGAAATGATGTATGTAAAAAGCATTTAATATTTACAATAATATACTTAAGCAGCAAATACAAAAATAAAAAAAGGAAGAATATTTATTTTCAGAAAGGAGAACACATCCCTTTAAGTATCAAAGTTGGTGATGTTGTATTATTGCCAGAATATGGTGGAACTAAGGTAGAACTTGAAGATAATAAAGAATTTCATTTATTCCGTGAGTCGGATATACTGGCGAAATTAGAAGTTTAAGGTTCCATTAAATTTATGTTTGCAATTTTTTTAAGTACTACATACTATTTCATAAGAAATACACAAGCAATGAAACAGTGAAATGTAAGTTAATTTCATACGAATTTTGATGTTTATCATTGTAGCGTACATAATGATATTCCCTTATGTATCTACTGTTATATATGCCATGATTTTGCACATATAAAAGGAAAAAATAAAGCATTTGTTGTGTTTATGTATTACCATTTGTTTAAATGTTGCTCATTCTTATATTTTCTTTCAATCTTGGTACTAATGTAATAATGGCAAGAGAAAAAAACCATAGAATCCATTGATATGTAATAAGCAAAAGTTTGTATTCATATTTTATACACATAAATAGAAATATATATTTTAATAGGAAATAAAAAGACAATTCTACGAGTTTTGAAACAAAGTACAATTTTAATATAACCCAATCTTTTATTTCAATTTGATACTTTTCTTTACACTAGCTTTAATACCCGATATTTCTCCAGCATAACGAGTAACTTCTTTTCTTATTTCTCTTATCTGAAAAATAAAAAAATTGTTATTGTATTACAACATATTCATCATTTAAAATAAATAAATACATACCGCTCCTTTCCTGCGAATTTTAGCTTTACGATATTTATTTCTATGTTTTACTCTGGGGTTGCGTTGTTCTTTTTTACGATATGGCGTTAAACCTTTATTTTTTGCTATTTGATATGTAATTGCTCTTTTTTCTTGATCTTCAACTACAAGGTGTGGCATGTCAGTACTTTCCATCTTCTCTTTAGTATTATACAAAACCTTTTCTTCATTTACATTTTCTGTCTTCAATTCAGATTCTAAAGAATCCGCATTTATGATTTCATTTGTAGATCTTTTTACACAATTTGCTTTTTCTTCGAAACGACATGTCTTTTGTTCATTGATGTTTATTTTATCGCCATTTAATATATTATACAATACTTTCCCTTCTCTCTCTGCTGTTAACATTTCCTGTATTTCTTGTATTAAATTTCCTTGTGCAGATTCCAATTGATTTAATAACTGACGATATTGTGCTAGACGTTTTATAATTGGGTGAGAATTAACAGGCAATCTTTTTGCCTTCAGCATTAAATAGAAAGAGATATTGATACAATAATTTAATAAAAGATGGTACTTTGTCTTTATGAAAGAAATTGTGGGGCAATTAGGGAGAATACCATCTTTAATTAACTTTAGAAATGGTGCCAGTGAATCTCTTGCTTCTGCCATGTGATCTAAATCATAATATGCATATTAAAAATATTTAATTTTTTAGTTTTCCCTTTTGAAATATATTTTATAAACTTTATTGAATATATATAATACCTTTAAAATCATTTACAAGAACTATAAATTCAGGACTTTCCTTCTGCATCATTATTTGCTTTTGTCTTTTGCTAAGTTTACTGAGATCTGTCTTTATAAATTGTTCTGTACTCTCGTATGCCTTTTGATCATCATTTCTTGTTTGTATAAAATCTAGACCAAAATCAATGTCATCCAATTGTTCTGCCAATCTCTTCTGAATATTTCTAGCCTCTTCTTCTTCCATTTCTGCTTGAGCTAAATCTTTTTGGCTGATATTAGCATAATCTGGATCTACAAAATCAGTAGAGTAATACGCTTTCTTCTTTTTTCCCCAAGCTTTTTCATTTGGTAAGTTGGAATCTTCTTGTAATCCTTCAATATCAGATTCCATGGAATCTGTCTGGACTTCATTTTCTGTATCATCTTGGTTCTGTTCATTTGCGTTGTGTAATCCATATACTTCATAATCACTATCGTAACTTTCCGAAGACTGTCTATCCCGTACTTTTCTAAGTAATTCACGTTCATTTTCTGAGTATTCTTCTTCAGAATTTATGACTTCATCTATATTTACATCTTCTAAATTCATTGTTTCTTCGTTCATTTCTGGTATCTTCATTGTGCTGAAACAAATCAAGCAAATATACATTTTGTAATAAAAATAAAAAGCTGTTAACATTATTAATAAAAGGAATACAACTTATATATTTAGTATGTAGAAACATGATTAACCCTTTGCGGTCGTACCAAGTTACGATATGATTGTCATGATGGTCGGAATTCATTTTCATTGAACAAACACTAATAATGTAACCTTACATATGATAACTTATACAAATCTTATTAAGAATCTTATGTATTTTCGAAACGTATATACACATGTACATACGAACCAAACACAAAGAGTGCCTGAGAGTAAACATACAACCAATTTTTCTAAGAATGGTAAAATTTTAATCGCTGAAATTGATGTACGACCGCAAACGGTCCAATTTCATTCAAGACAATCTTTAGTTTACCTCTTTTTATTTCTCATATTAAAATTTTTTATTAGAACAATACAAAAATTGTGGCTAAAAATATTTAGACAAGTTTTAATAGTATAGTTCACTTTGCAATCTTATTTATTATTTATTATTTTTGATAAAATATATCTTATCACAATATATGCACACACAACTTCATGATTTCACAAGCCATTTAGTTGGGGACCGGAGGTGTTCAATTCCGATTTGATTTTTTAGAGAAATCGATTCTTTCGGTTAAAAAATCGATCTTTTGAATCGATTTTCCTACGATCGATTTGTTATTCCAAAAATCGACAATCGATTATATGTTTTGTTACTAAGAAAGGTTTCTCGCCGCAACTATTTGATAATCTTCCTTATGCTAAGATGATAAATGTGCAAATTTCTAGTTTGCGGTTAAGAATTGTATGAATATCTTTTTGTATTTCTAATTATATGTTAAAAGGATTGAATTTACATGTAACAATCAGAAGTAACAACACAATAATGGTAATACACTAAGCTTGTTTAGAGTTTAAAAGAACAGAGAGGCCACTACTATAAAGCAAAATGTTTTTGAAAACGCTATTTTTCGGTGTAATACTAATGTACTGAAAGAAAAATAAAACAAATTTACTCAAAGAATGAAATATATAAAATTTTGACTTCGCTGTAAGAGGATATATATATTTCTGATACAGCTAACATCAAACATATATAATTCTACGTGTCATCAGAGACGTCTCTTTGCAAGAGAGGAATAACATTTACTCATACTCGTCTCTGCTACTAGTGTTACTGCATCATCATTCATTTTTCATTATATCTGGTAGTATTATGTTTAAATCTATTACGTTTGTAAGTTTATGGATTTACCGGTTATGTGAATTGTAGCTCGTGTTATGTATTTATGAATCAGAATCATATAAATATCAAATAAACATTTGATTTTTTATTATATTTTCACATTTAGAAGGAAAATGGTATTTTTAACTGCGCAATTATTTATAAGATGTCGAGGTCCCGATGAATTCTGGCGAAAACGTCAAATATTTAAGCTCGCTGCGGTAAATATATATGTATACTTATTCGAAACTAAATAGAGAAAATTATGATACAAATTTCTAATTATTTTTATTTTTAGCATTATATTGGAAGGAGAAGAAATTGTTATAGTATAGCCATTAGAAATGTAAACAGAGCGTTACTAAAATCTACAATAGGAAGACAGCTGAAAAAAGACGATATGAAAGAGGTAATTCATAAAAGAAAGTAACTCTCTTTTAGAATGTTATATAAATAATTGTTCATTTTTGTTACAGCTTTGGGAAACCAGAATAAATGGTGCAGCAAAGGAACATAATAGTAATATAAAGATTCTATTGGAAGGATTAGGCAGATGTAATATTTTATTAAATCGTAAATCTTTATCAACATTGGCTGTTTGGGAACCACGAACATTTAAATGTTTATCCGATATTGCTTGTGCAAAAACAAAACTAGGAGGATTTAAAAGAGTTGCTGATAAATCTATGCCTGAAACTGTTATAGTTGAAGGATTAATTGATGAACTGGATTGATAAAATTATTGCAAAATAAATAATTAAACTTACATTTTATTGCAACATTTATTGAGTTACTACTGATTATATATTTACGAGAAGTATATGCTTTTTAAGAACAATAAAATAAGGTGTAAAGGTTACTGTTAATTGCGGAGTAATAATATTTCATTACAGCAACATGACTTAGATCTTTCTCTGTACAAACAACAAGAAAATATATAAGTTAATTCTTTACAGTACTTCTTATAATATACCCATCCTTAGAGTATATATTAATTAAATGAATAACATTCTCGCACAATGAATATTTTATCTCACTGCTTAGCATTGACGATTTGTACAAAGTCAGGTTTTAAAGATGCCCCTCCAACTAAAAATCCATCTATATCTTTCTCTTTTGCCAAGTCTTTCGCATTTCCTGCCGTTACTGAACCTCCATAGATGATTCTAACAGTCTCTGCAACAGTTTGATTGACATTTTTAGAGAACCAGTCTCTCAACTTTGCATGGACTTCTTGAGCTTGTTGTGGTGTAGCTGTTTTGCCTGTTCCAATTGCCCAGACTGGTTCATAGGCAAGAACTACATTGTTCCATGATTTGATTTTATCTGCAATAGCTTTAGTTTGCCTAAAGACTACTTCCTCTGTTTTACCAGCTTCTCTCTCTTCCAATTTCTCTCCAATACATGCTATCACCTATTAAGTCAAATATATTGGCATTTATTAATATTAAGATTATATTACTAGGTATTAAGTTTTAAAATAATCAAAATTTATATTACCTTCAATCCAGCTTCTAAAGCATGGGCTACTTTTTCTGCTACTAATTCATCTGTTTCACCAAAGACATTTCTACGCTCAGAGTGACCAAGAATTACCCATGGGATTCCATTGTCCAAAAGCATGACAGGACTTATTTCTCCTGTAAATGCTCCTTTGGCAACCTTGTATGTATTTTGTCCAGCAATACTAACATTGTTAGGTAATATATCCTTAACATACGTTAAGTATATTGATGGTACGCCAACAACAATCTCTAATAAAATTATATTGTTAGAATTATAATAAAATATATAAATTAATATTATCAGTGTTACATTATTAAAAATAAAATTTATGGATAACTATATAAGATATATCGTTTTTTAGGAGTTAGTTAAAAACTAGAAAATATAGAATATTAAATATTAAAGCAGCAGATAGAACAAACATACCAACATTTGAATCAAGTGGGCCGTTTTTTAAAAAGGCAACGATACCATCTATTTCACTCTTGGTACCGTTCATTTTCCAATTACCACCGACAAAAAATTTTCGGCCCATGATATTACAATGTATAGATACACGAAGATAATTAATAACAATGGATTTACAAGTTTCCAGTGAATCTAAAACAAATTTCGAAACTACTCTCTCGACTTTCGACCTTCAACAAACCAGAAGGTGAATTAAGTCACGTTCACGTACCTCCCAACTGATTTTATGAAACCCCCACCATTCTTTATTTCTTACTCCCCTCTCTTTCGCGGGCTATACTTCAATAAAATACAGTTTACAGGAATTATTTTATTCGTGGAAATAAAATTACTTCCGTTATTTCTATATATCCTTCAATTTTGTATTAACAAATATACTTTTACATTTAATCTCGAGTTTTTATAAATAGGCAAGACTATTGATTTAAATTTCATTAAAATTTTCCTATACTAAATCTGATATTGGAATCAGATTTTAAAAATATTGCATGATATAAACATTGCAAAATTTGTAATTTACAAAGGTAATTAAATGTTTAATACTGGTATGTTATAAGTAATTAAAAATCTCAAAATATTTTATACAGTGAAATCGTGAATATGTTAGAATATGTCGCTCGAATTTATGAAATTAGTAAATAAATTGCACTACATAAGATCTAGAAATATCATAAAACTAAGATTTATAACATTAGGAATTAAGAAATAATAATGATATTTTACGCAATACTTACTATTATAGTATTTAGTAACTTCAAATTTTTAAGTTCGTATACCAAGTCGGAGCAACATTTCGATATATCGATGGTGAGTAATAAATAAAGATTATGTACTTCGAAATAATTTTAAATTTCAGTAATACACAGCACACAAAATTTATAAACTTAATATTTAATTATTTATAAACAATCTTTGAGACTGTTGTTGAATTAGATAAAAGTATTTAAGAATGTTCCATTGTAAGGTTATGAAACATTTTTAAATTACTCTGATACATTAACAATCTTTTTTTCATGATTATTTATTATAATTAAATGAGATATATCGTATACTTACTATATTTAAGGAGATTTTTATTTAAGATACTTTTCTGACACAATTTAGCAAGATTCTCACGAAGAAATAAATTAAACATGTTAGGCATTTTACCAAAAAGCTTTGAATCACATTTTAATGTCTTCTTGTAATTCAAATAAGTAATATAATTTATAAAAAATAAATATATAATAAAAACAAATAAATAATTGCTAAAATATTAAATTATTGGAAGTAATTATGTTGCGCATTACTGTGAAATTGGACAAGGAAACAATTGCATAAATTTGTTTATAATGTTTTGTCAATGTTTCTATAATATAGACAAATTAGAATTTTATAATATTTTATTATACGTAATGTTTCAAAATATTTATATATATTAACATTATTATTATAAATAATTCATAATTGAGAGATTCTGTAACATGTTTGAGATATTAAAATTCAATATGGATAAATTTATACACACATTTCTACAGAATTTAGGTTTAAGAATTGAATCTCATGCCTGCAAAAAGTTTAACAAGATTAAATATATATCAAATATGAATAAGTCTTATATAGCAAAACAACTATATCCTACAGAGGAAATAAAAGATATTAATATACAGCAAGATTTGGATTTTTCTAGCGAAGAAAACATAAAATATTTCATGGAAAAGCATGTTAATCTCTTTGATAAACTTACTTATCTAAATAATGCACAAATTTTAACCTCTCATTTGAGGAATATTAATACAATGATTCTTCAGAAAATAAAGCTAAGATGGAAATACAATGGAAATGTAAAAAAGAGAGAAATTAAAACATGGAACAAAATTGTAACTTATAACAAGAAACTAAGAACAAATTTAGCAAATAAATTGAGTGGGTCACAGGGCAAATTATTGTTTTCTTCAGAATGCAAACGAAAATATGTAAATTTCTCTAATTATAAAAGATATAAATTTAAAAAGGCTGCTCTTGGAAATTTTAAACTACTTTATAATAACACAACTATATCCAATGATCACAGAAGTGATAACATTTTAATAACAGATAATGATAAGAAAACATCTTTTCTTAGGCACAGTTTATCAAACATTGTGACAAATATCACAAACAAACAAATAGAAATGACTGAACAATTTTTATGGTTGCATGTAAAAGATATAGAATATATGAAAAGAAACATACAAGTTACTCTTCATATCGCAAAGGTTATACTATGCATATATCTTTCTTTATTTTAAATTGATTTAATATGGCTTTGTATATAATTTAATCTTGTATCTATTATTCAGAATTCAAAATATAATTATGATACAAAGAACCAAATAGAATATAATCAAGTACTTTGTCATCATGCAATTCTGTGTTTAATTGAACCAAGTGAAAAGGGTGCTGTTTTAATTGAAGATAATTTACCAGTTATTGTTCAAAAATATCTCGTACATGGTTATAAATACCATTTTGATTTTCAGAGGTATTTTATGAAAGACAAACATATTATATAAGTTTAAATGTTTCAATGGATGAAACTTTTTCTTTAGAGGTTCAAAGGACTATTATGCAGCTGTACTTATTTTGAGTCGATGGGCTAAGGTTCTAGTTAAACATATAAACACAACTATGATGCATACAATTTCTGGTATATTAGGATGTGATGTAGAAAAAATATTGGTTTTATATAATCCAAGAGGGAAATGATTTTGGATATTATCATATATAAAGAAAATTTATGAATATATCTCTAATATAAATTTGTTCATTGATGTAATATATAATACAGCCTTATGTAATTATTTCGAGTAAATACCCAATGATTACTTATATTCATTAATGTATATTTTTTGTAGGAGGTTTATAAGTGTTTTAAGTGAAATAAAAAATGGTAAATGAAGAAGTAGTGGAATTTAATAAGAAATCACAACCAGTTTACAAGAATCCAATTTTTCAACAGAAATTTCGATCTACTAGTACCACTGGAAAGAAACGGACTTGGCGCTCATTAAAACAAGTGCTGGCTCAAGAACGCACTTTACCATGGCCTGTAGAAGTAGTGCATTGTACGATTTATTACCAATCTATTTTAATGTTACATATTTTCAAAAAATCTATATGTGTAATGATTTGAATAACTTAAGAACTAAAGGAAATCAATTTATGTGTTTAGCGATACATCTACTTGCGATATATTTCATAATCTGTAACTGAACTGTAATTTCGATAATCATATTTTAGATACTTTCTAAATAAATATTATATCACTCTGGGGAATTTCAGATAGTTCTATTAATGCACCGCCAAGCTTCAGGCCAGCAAAGAAATATTCTGATATTTCTGGGTTACCCGTAAGTAACTTTCCACGTTTGTATCATTGGTTAAGTCATTAAAGCACAAAATGATATATAAATTACATTTATTTTACAGGCACGATATACAGATCCACAAACTAAATTATACTATGCAACGGCAGAAGAATTTGCAACAGTCCGAAGTCTACCAATGGATATAACTGCTGGATATTTAGCATTGCGCGGCGCTTCCAGTATCGTTGGATAAATGAAAGGAGAATTTTATTTTCTATAATTTCCTTATATTTAAATAGTATAGAACACGGATATTTTATTTTGTAATTGTTATGATACTTATTAAAGAATAATGAAAAATTAAGTATAATTCTGAAAATTAAACATCATGTCATAAATGTAAACAAAATATATCGAGCTTATAAAGAGACAAAATAAAGCTGTTTGCACTAACTAGTTGATAAAAATTCTTTTTTTATATACATACATTGTATGTATCAAGTTCTTTTAACGGGATTTCCTGAAATAAAGAATTCCACAAATAATTTAAGTAATTTTCATTATTTTATCTCCGTAATATTATACACAAGTAATCATTATTAAAAAAAAAAGGATGTCAATCGTAACTTAATATATGAATTACGAATTAAAGAAGGATTGGAGAATCTTTAAAAAGAATATTACTGTTTCTTTTCTCTTGACCACTGTATTCTTTTATGTTGACAGTTTTTCGTGCACCTTATTTGTTTGTTTGCTATTGCAACATGGGCCATTAGCAAATTTAATTGAAAATACAAATAGCACGGCCTACTGAAATATTGCCTGGTGGTGCACTATTTTTAGGTCGCCATTTGTTTTTGAATTTTTTTACTTTTTTAATGAAGATAATTTTAAAGTAGCGTCATAATGTCTTCATTCCAGCAGGTCGGGTAGATCGTCGTCATCACTATCCATTCCATCACCTTCATCTCCTAAAGCATCTAAATCATCGAAGTTTGGTTTACTATCTCCCGATCCTCCTAGACCACCCATCTGTCGCATCATCTGCAAATGTATTGGAAATTTAGATTATCAAACTGTAGATGAATAACAGTACAGTAATTGTAATATCCTTTTCTTTTTTTTATCAACGGATAAATTACTTTAAACACAATAATCTCTTACTTCTTCCAAATCGTTGCCACTTCCTTCCATTCCACCTTCATCGTCGCTATCATCTTCATCCTTCCATTTATTAAAATCGCTTTTTAACCAATGGGCTTTCGTTTTTTCTTTTGTTAATCTTGGCCAATATGGACCTTCTTCTTTTTTAACAAGAACTAACTCTATAGTCCTTCCTCTTAGGTTTTGAATAGTTCTGTTTGGAACAACTTCTCCATATAGGTTAATCGTTATTTCATGCATTTTTTGTTCAGTTCCACCTACTCCTTTAAAATATATCATTTGTGGTTCGATGTTAATCGCAGGATCTTTGCAATCTTCTAGACAGATAGTAACAAATAATATTTCTTTCCTCTGAGCCCACATAACAGGTGGGGGAGGCAATCTGAAAAATTGTCAAACAATTAACAATTTTAAATAATGTATAAGAAACTAAATTACAAATAGTAAATTAAAAAATATAAATTAAATATAAATTAAAAAACACTGAATAAGAAAAGGTCAATTAAAACAAAAATTATTTATATCATGCATTTGTTTATATCCATACAGAGCAGTTCTGCATAAAATGCGTGTACGACATGCACGTTATGCTTGAAACGTACACACGCATGACAAATTTGTATAATTAATATTAATTTTATTTCATGTATAAGCATTCATGGATAACTTTTAATGAAAAATTTATTCAAATGCAAGAAATGAAATGCAATATTTAACGGAATGCAGGAAGTGAAGCAATATTACAGTAGGGAGAATAGCATTGTAATTATAAAACGTAGGTAAAGGTTAGGAGTAAAGTTCTATGGTTTCTGGCAAAAGTCGCTAGTCATTGTGGATAAAACGTTATATTATTGTAAAACGATCGAGGAGAATAAAAATAATATAACATCATGAAACGCATTTCGGTAAAAGCATATAAAATATTATAATATATTTTTCGCGTCTAAGATATATCGATAGTTATGTAGAAATACAAGCTATTAAAAACCTGAGCATTGCAATTCGATTATCTGAAAAAAAAAGCAAAAGGGTGGAAGATTCATTATCAACGGAATGGTTATTATTAAGAATTTATAAACAGTGCATTGTAAAACAAGAAAATAGGGATGTAAGATAGTTTCTTGCGATTCTTTTCCAGAAATTTCGAGAATCAATAAAGCCGTCTTTACAACATGGCGGTGTTTCGAAAGCCACGGGGCGGTATTCGAGTTGTTTTCTCGAATATCTCTTACTCTTTTCATGATAATAACAATGAGAAGGAATTTCAGGATCGAGAAACACAATCAAAGAACATTTTATGTGAATTTTTATGTACTTACTGGCCTTCTTGAGTCATATTTCGAGAGCTTCGTTCCGTAAGAAGCAAACAAACACGAAGCGCTTACGTATCGCGCCGTAGATCCGTGATTCGAGAGTGTTTCGAGATTCAACTATCGATCAAACAAAATGGCGATTGGTTGCTTTTGTCGATGTCGAATTCTCTTGTTTCCGGAATCGAAATTTGAAAAATATCTATTTACCAATCTAAGACTGGTAATCTTGAAACGTAATATAATTTCTGATATTATAAATAAATTTCACGCTATTATGTGGTATAGTGGAATTATTTGCCAAGATAAATCAAGTAAAAACATTTTTAACTTACTTCATTTCTCATTTGTATTTCGAGATGTTAAAATAAATGGTTATCCGATACTTGTTGTCCTTTAACGAGTCAATATTAACAATAATTTTTCAAAGTGTTTTTACAAATGCAAAAATAAGACGCTGTAGAATAGAAAATTAACGTTATCTTATTTTTTCATTTATAGTATAAAAAAGATTCTATATTGTAAATCCTTTTTACGTATTGGAAGATTATGAATAAATATGTACTTTCGTGATAATGAACTGATTTTCAATTTTAAACATTCGTCTGCGTTTTTCGGATAGAAGAAAAAAGTAAAATAATTAATGCAATGGTAGCATAAAAATTCGAGACAGATGTGGCTGAGAGTGTGTGTGTGTGAGAGGGGTGGGGGGAGTAAGCGAGAGGAAGAAAGAGAGAGGCTGAGAAAGATATGGCGAGAGGGGACGAGAGAGAAAGAGAGAGTGAGATGTAGGATGAAAGAGGGAAGGAAAAGAAAACGAAAAGAGAGAGCCTTTGCGTTAGATTGTAGGTCAGCGCGGCAGAGGAGGAGGGAAAGATACTACCTTTCTTGCCGTAACCGTGGCCATAAACTAACAGGACATACACACGGTGTATCAGTCTTTCTTTCGCAGCTCTGACTCGTCCTGTTTGTCAGTCGTACAGGTGGTTATTTCCGCGTAAACGTACCTTCGCATTTCCGATACGCTGTCGCTGTTGTGGTTTCTGCGGGCAACTCGCTACTTTTGATTATCGTTCTGATCAGCTTCGAGATTGTTTTTTGTTAATCCGTAAAAAGGATTAATTGACGCGCGCGCGTGCGCGCGTGTGCATTACTTTCAATGGATACCTGGAGAAGTTGCAACAGAAATAACGGAGATCGACGATGAAACCGTGACTTTTCGCGGTTCATGCAACTTGTTGCTTCGGGATTAACGCCATGTCGACCAGTTCGCTTTTTTACAAAGATAAGTACGCGGTAAGTGGCAATCTTCTTCGTCTTCTACGTATGCACGTAATCATATCTATCTTGTAGATCGTAGATGATATTTCAGATAGTTTACGTCTCCAAATTATATGCCTTTATACTTCATTAATTATAGGAAGTTCGACCCAGTTTCGTAAAAATTTCTCTATGTACACATAAATTGTTTACTCGCTTCATACGCTTTCTCGGCTCCTTGTATCGTCGCGCAACGTTAATTTTACATTTACAATATTTGAACATTTGAAATATTTAACACGAAATCACAAGCGAACCGATAATCTCAAGCTGTCGTTACTAATCCTGCATTTGCTCGGAATCTGCTTGTTAGACGGCCTGTGTACGGGCCTCGAATCTTGAGGAAAATCGATCGTTTTCCAAATCCTGATATTATACGTGAATATCTATCATCGATACCGTATCAATACCTGTTACAATTATTAATTACTTGCGATATTTACTGCTGTGCAAGGAAGGAGATGCATGGAGGAAGAGAAAGGAAGATAAATGTGCGCGGGTGGTTCGCGTAAAATCACTATATAACGATGACACGTTATTATTTCATCGTGCAATAATTATCCATGACCGTAGTTATCGCGGAACTGTGATATTTTATCGAATATGATTATTGAATATGATATGAAATAACAAAGTTTCGTCAATTCGTTTCTTTACCTTTACTCTCTCCTACCTTCGAACGAATATTCACGCGTAAAGCGAGGTCCATCTTTGTTCAACGTTAAAGACGTTCGATTTATCCGAACTAGTGATATTACCAAAGTGTTAGGTCAATGCTATCTTATATAAAAATAAACCGAATAAATTGGAACGTGAATTTTGAATTTTGTAGTAGTTTAACTATAAACAATAATCTCGTTGTTTCGAATCAACGTGTTTAACGAAAAAGAACGATGCTTGGCGTGCGAATAAACCAATTAATTAGAACGATATATTTCGCTGGATATATTTCGGTGGGCGAATTAGCGAGACGAATTAAACTCGATTAACGAGTGACATTGAAGTTTAATTAGCAAGTGGGTGTTAAACCGTTGTCGTTCCAGTTATTCTTATCCTTGATTCTATAAACCTTATCACGATTGCCGATACGATCGAAAGAAAAATATTTCTGTTTGTTTTATCGCAGAAACGACAATCATTTAGAGATGAATTCGTTGTTTTGAAATCTATGGTTACGCCAAAGGTAAATCTTTGCTTTACCTTCAACGATTAAGCTGTTGTACGTGTAACGCGTTAGATACGACGGTGAATAATCACGGATATGAGTCAATTTCGAATGTTCTTTCAAAGAACAGAGAAAGCGATATTTCGAGATGGACGTGTAAATCTGACCCATTCGCTGGCTTCGACGTTGTTACATCGGCAGGAGATCGTGGGTATAAACTTTTATATTCCGTTACGTAATTATCGATCGAATACAAGAGAGAGGATAGATTTGCAGAGAATGAAAAAGAAGAAACAGGTACTTACGCGTGTTCGCACGAGGAAGAAGGAGTAAAAGAAGGAAAGAATGACGAAGAGAAGGGAGGGATAGAACTCGTCGACTAGCGGTAGGTTCTTCGGTGCATAGTAGTATACACACAGCGTATTTGACTGAGTTTCAAAAGAGGTAGGTGGCGGCGTGTATGATTCGGATGCCAGAAGGGCCCTCAGGGGTGAAAGTCTTACGTCAGAGACATGCATCTTATTATGCCGGACAACCGTACGATTCATGCAACGAAATGGTCACTATTCCCGACGCGGCGCGTAAC